CACCCGCCCACCCCCGTCCCAGGCAAGCTCCAGGGCTTGCCAGGTGACACCAGCCCCAGCTCACTGCCTGGACACCATGCTGTTTCCCCAGGTGGCCACACCAGGATGTGGGCAGATTGAGGGGCCGCCGATCAGAACAGGGAGGGGCAGTAGACTGGGGAACGGCAGCTTCCAGGGGCTTCCTCTCCCTCTGGGCGCCTTGGCCAGCCCCTACCCACTGCCTTGCCCTGCAGCCACAGGGCTGACCACTATACTCACTCCATAGCAGAGGTAAGCCTTCTTCCTGAGGAATGGAGGCTCCCCCGCCATGGAAAATCCCAGTCCTCATGACAGTCCTCTGGCAGCCCACTCGTGTCCACGGTGGCCTGACATGTGCTGGTCTGGACTGCCCCTCCTGCCGTCCTGGCGAGTCCATCGGCTCCCCCCACCAGCCTGTGTGCACGTTGGCCTCAGCCTCCCAGTGGGGTGAGCAGGCAGGCCTGGGCCTGGCTGACGAGCGGATCACAGTTGGGCCTTGTTTCTGCATGCGCCATCCACGTCCCAGACCCCTGGGGGTCGTTTGAACAGCTCCCAGGAGCCCTCTGGAGAAATTCAGTCATAAGGCCTAGTGCTCGGACCCAGGAACCTGCCCCTTAGATACTGAGACTCCCCGAGCGGCTCAGCGGCTGTCCTCTGCAGACTGGCTAGGGTTCTGCTCAGGTTCAGGTTCCCGGCCAGCCCCACCTCTTGCAGCTGTGTGGCTGGAAAGCCAAAGCCTCCCCTGGCCCTCAGTTATGATGGTTATCTGTGTGGGGCTGCCTGGCAGGGCCGGAAGTGGAAATGACTCGCAAACTCATGACCTCCGCTGGTGGGTGCTGCCCTCCCCTCCCTGCCTCCCCTGACCCCACTCTGTTTCCACAGTACGCAGCCTGGCTGGTGCTCTGGGTTGGCTGGAATGCCTTTATCATCTGCTTCTACCTGGAGGTTGGGCAGCTGTCCCAGGTAAGCCTCGGACCTGGCCTGGCGGTGCTGGAGGGCAGAGCCAGCCTTGCCCAGCACCGCCCCGCGGGGCCTCTCCTGAAGGGTCCTCCTCTCTGACACCCAGGTGATTGGTGCGGTCCCTGTATTTGTTTTGGGCCTCCTCTGCGTGCTGGAGGAGGCCGGGTTACGGGGCTGTCTGTGCGGAGTGGGCTGGTCACGGTTATCATAGGTGCGCTAGGAGACACCAGTACGGGGCCAGCGGGTGGCGTGGGGCTGAAAGCGAACCCGGCCGCTCGAGTTTGGGACCCAGGTGACATGAAAAACACACCGCGCATGTGTGTGTGCCCAAATTCTAGAGAGGAGAAGAGAAGAGTGATTTCTCATCCCTGCCCTGCTTCCCTCCAATGAGTGCATACACCTTATAGCAGGAAAAAAAAAAACACTAGGAGAAAAGCAACAGTGTGTGACCCAGAAAGCTGCTCAGGCCTCAGTAGAGGGGGGCTGTACAGAGCAAAGGCGAGAATGCCCTGAACCTTGTACCACTTGGACCGCAGAGATGTGGGTCCTTCAGAAGGCAAGACCAATCAGGGCTGTTGAGGGAAGGTCGCGTGAACCGTGTCCAAGAAGAACCAAGAAGGCACGACTTCTCCTCCAGATGTAAAGGAGGACCAAAGAGAGGACAGGGCTGCCCAGGGTCACACACAGGCTGCGAAGGGCCGGTACCGCGGACCTTCCAGTCCCGCAATTGTGGAGCTCCGGGACGACGCCCCAAGCACCAGCCACTTTCTATCTGTGATGGTCGTCGCGCGCCACCTGCTGGCCAACCGTGAGCGTGCAGGTGCAGACTGGCCGGGTCCCTGCGCAAATCCAGGTGGAGAGGAGGCTGCCAGGAGTTCCCAGGGGAGCGGCCTTACTAAAGTCCCTGGGGCCGGGGGTACCCCTGCTCCCTCCACTCAGTACCCATGCCGCTCTGCTCCCAGGACCGGGACTTCATTATGACCTTCAACACGTCTCTGCACCGCTCCTGGTGGATGGAGAACGGGCCGGGCTGCCTGGTGACACCCGTCCTCAGCTCCCGCCTGGCTTTGGAGGACCACCATGTCATCTCTGTCTCCGGCTGCCTGCTCGACTACCCCTACATCGAGGCCCTCAGCAGTGCCCTGCAGATCTTCCTGGCGGTGAGTCCCGGCCCCGGCCCACACTCCAGCTGAGGGGGCCACCACCCCCAGCCTTTCTCTTGGCCTGGTTGAGAGGGGACTAGCCTTGGTCTCTACCTGCCTGTGCCCCTCCTGGGTCTGCCTGCATCTCGGCCCACCTCGGCCCAGCCCCAGGCAGGCCCGAGTAGCTGTGAGGCCCCTGCTGGGGCAGACCTGCCCACATCTCAGCATGCCCACCCGGTGAGCCGGGACGAGTCACCTGCCCTGTCTAATCTGTTTCCTTCTTCACACAAAGAATGGCAATGCCATCCTCAGAGCCGTGAGCGTAAGAGGCTCATCCTCGTTCCTAGGAGGGCCATCCCTGCCCTAGGGACGTCACACACAGTCAGGAAGGGAACCTTCCCTCCTAACAAGCCAGGGAGGCTTTGCCTGGGCCCGACAGAGAACATAGGTGAAGTCGTTACCACCAGAAGTCACACGCCCAGACCGAGGCCTGACCATGTTGGGTTGAACGGGTTTAAGGGCCGTACCTCGAAGGAGTTAGGGGTAGGCAGCGGGTCAGAGAACTCCTCCTTTCTCCCTCCCCCAGCTGTTTGGCTTCGTGTTCGCCTGCTACGTGAGCAAAGTGTTCCTGGAAGAGGAAGACAGCTGTGAGTAGGGCAAGGGACGCGGAAGTCTGGCCAAGTGCCGCGGCGCCTTCAGCACCCTGGACAGGGGCCCGCAGGCCTCGCGGGAGGGAGTCCTGGGTCGGCCAAGGGGCCTCTTGGGGGGAAAAAGGCGGCAGGGATGGAGGGGCCTGTCTGACCGGCCCCAGCACCGTCCACCCCCATTGGAGGTCTCGTCCTCTGCAGTTGCTCGCGTCCCACCCTGAAGCGCTTTCCCTCTTAGAGGACCAACTGCCTCCCAGGCTAGGCCCTCTGGGGACTTCGCTCCCAGGCTCGGCCCTGGCCTAATCCACACACCCACTGGGTGGCCTGGGACACGCTTGCCCTCTCCACGTGGCCCCTCCCCCGCGTCTGAGGCCCCAGCTGGCTGCAAAGCTCTGTCTGGAGCCTGGCCTCCTGCCCTCAGGCTGCCCTTTGCAGACCCAGCCTCCCATAGCTCTTCCCTGATCGTGCGACACCGCCCCTTCCGCAGTTGACTTCATCGGTGGCTTTGACTCCTACGGGTACCAGGCGCCCCAGAAGACGTCGCATTTACAACTGCAGCCTCTGTACACGTGG